CCCACATTGTCCCCTGAGAGGTGAGCCTGTCCTAGGCTGTCCCCTCACACTCCCACATTGTCCCCTGAGAGGTGAGCCTGTTCTAGGCTGTCCCCTCACACTCCCACATTGTCTCCTGAGAGGTGAGCCTGTCCTAGGCTGTCCCCTCACACTCCCACATGTCTTCCTGTCTGTGCATCCCTCTCCCCGCCTCCAAGCTAACAACCCTACAAGAGTCATGAGTCCACTGTGATTCCTTTCTTCTTTTTCTTTTTCTTTTATTCCCACTTGTGTCCACAAGAAAGAACACATTAGTACACACGGTACCTTTGGTGTCCCTCATGTTCACAATCAAGAACACATTAGTACACACAGTACCTTTGGTGTCCCTTTACTGTATGGAACAATTGGAACTTAAGGAGTGGCTGTCTTGTAGTCGACTGCCACCCCACTTTGGTTTGGTTTAGTGTTGAGTAGTGACTGATGTTGCTGACAATACTCAACTCTCAGGGAAGTGTCCAATAGACACTGTTGCCCTTGAACACAGTCTAACAAAAGAAAATGTCACTTCAACCTCATTATAAACTAATGTCTCCTGAACACTGCAAATATCACTCATGGAAGAAGAAAAGTGATTTGAATTTAAAAAGAAAAGGAAATGTAACCAATTGCCTAACAATGAATAACTTCCAATGCAAAAATACAAGGAACATGAAAAACAAGACACACCTCATCCAAAAGTCACCGATCCCACATTTACCCCCAATGAGACCAACTTATATGAAACTCTAGACAAAGAATTCAAAATAACTGTTACAAATAGGTTCAGAGAGTTCAGAGAGGAAGCAAATAAATTCCTGAATGAATTTTGTAACACAAAGAACCAGCTAAATAAAATAAAGAGGTCCATTTGGGGTATGAAAACATAATTCAACAAACAGCTAGAAACACTGAAGAAAAACTAAACTGAAATGATGAAGGAAATAAAAAATTAGAGTAAGTCAAATAAAAAGGCCAGTGGAAAGCCTCCCCAGTAGAATGGATCATGTGGAGGACAGGATATCAGGGCTTGAAGACAAGGTAAAGACATTGAAAACCTCAGTCAAGGTCAATAACAAATTAATGTTTGCAATAATGTTTTTTTGGGGAAAAAACATACTAATGGAACATGCAGAATATTGGATATACCATACAAGCCCAAATCTATTAATTAAGAGCATAGAAGAAAGAGAAGGATTTCATGCTAAAGGTATAGAAAATGTGTTCAATAAAATCACAGAAAAAAAAAAAAACCTCCAAATAGGGTGAGAAAATAAACTCCCCACATCATATTACAGTTAAAACACTGACGACCCAGAGCAAATAAAAGGCACTGAAAAACTGTAAGAGGAAAGGACCAAGTTGCATATAAAGGTAGGCCCATCAGAAACCTAAAAAGACAGAAAGGCTCGGGAGGCTATATTTCAAGTTCTGAAAGACTTCCAACCCAGACTCATTTACTCAGCAAAACTATCGGACATGACAAAAGGAGGAAGAAAAACTTTCCACAACAAAAGCAGGCTAAAGAAATTTATAACCACCGAAATAGTCCTACAGAGGATACTAGAGGGAATTCTTTGAAATGAGGAAAAAGATAAACAGAGCCAATACGCTCCAAGGAAAAAATAAATGATACTAAGACGCTCGTTAAGGGAAAGAAGACGAAGAAAACATCAAATACTGTAAGATTACCAAAATGACAGGGATCAATATCCACCTTTCAATAATTACTCGGAGTATTAATGTCTCAATTCCCCTATCAAAAGAGACAGGCAAGCAGATTAGGTTAGAAAACAAAATCCACCTTTTGGCTGCCTCCAAGAGACTCATCTCACCATCAAAGATCAATACTTTTACAAGTGATAGAATGAGTAAATATGCTCTAAGCAAATGGAACCGAAACCAAGCAAGCACCACTATTCCATATTCTCATACTTGATCAAATAAACTTAAAAGCAAATCTAGTCAGAAAATACAAAAAAAATCACTTCAAGCTGATCAAGGCAACAATCCATCCAGAGGACATTACAATTCTAAACATGTGCATCAGGCACAGGTGTAGCAAATTTCATAAAACAATTCTAAAACATAGTATATATATAAATATAAATGTATATAAATTTTAAATTTTTCATAAAACATGGTAATAGTGGGCGACTTCAGTATCCCAACTCTCACCATTAGACAGATCATTTATACAAAAAATAAACAGAGAAACACCAGAGTAAAAGAGATCATAGAGCAAATGGATTTCATAGACATCTATAGGACATTTCTTCCAAACACTGCAAAATATACATTCTTCTCAGTAGTCCAAGGAACTGTCTCTAAAATAGATCATATACTAGGACACAAAGCAAGTCTCAACAAATATAAGAAAATTGAAATAACATCTTGTTCTAGTTTTATTTCTGTTGCTGTGATAAAATATTCTGACAAAAAGCAACTTAGTGGGAAAAGGATTTATATAGCTTACAATTTCAGGTTATGACCTGTCACTGTGGGGAAGTCACAGAAACAGGAGCTGGTCACAGCACATCCAAGGTCAAGAGTAGAGAGAAATGGATAAATGCACACCCACTTGCTTGCTTCGTGTGCCCAGTCGGATTTCTCCACTTTTTTATGGTTAAGGACCCCCTTTCTAAGAGAATGGTTCCCAGATCAATTTAAGACAATCTCCCACAGACGGCCACAGGGCAACAGTTCCTCACTGAGATTCCCTTCCCAGGTGGTCATAGGTTGTA